ACAGGAACGAACCCGAAAGCAAGAAATTCCAGGCAAGCTCTGAGGCAAAGCGCATGAAAATAGCAACTTGAAACAAACTGTAAACAGTCCAACCCCCTTGTAGTTAGGCAACCAGAGGGCTTCTGTGTACCAACACTGTAAGAACTGACCTTGGAGAGATAAGCCAAGTTCAGGGTGTAGTTGCAAAGCTGCAATGAAAAATTCTCCACTGATCCCTCCCGCCTTTTCTATGGCAGCAAGCAGCAGGCTAACTGACAATGGCTACTATAGAAGGCATAATCAGTCACAAAATAGAATAACAAAAGTGAGATAAGCTTTTAGGATGTTGTATTTTCCAGTAAGATCTTTAAGGAGTCAAATGGACACACACACACACTGGGGGGTGTTTGGTTTGAGTGGTGGGATACTATAATGGTTAGAGCACCACCTTTGATGTGGGAAACCAGGATTCAAATCCCAGTTGTTACCTATCTTACAATTAGGGGTCCTTGGGCAAGGACCCCTTAATGTTTCACCTGCCTACTTCAAATATGAGAATGACATGAGCTAGGAGTATCATTCCAGCTCAGCTGTTGCCCAGATTAACACAGTCCATGTCAGATGTTGGGGAACCAGGACAATAAATAGACTACTGGAAGAAACCATAAATGGATGAGACAAGAATCTGAAATTGATGGAATGCTATTATAACAGTAGACCTAATGAGAGGGAATATATGAAACATATGAGGAACTATGGATGGACAGAAGACCTTCATCCACACTAAATGTGAACTAGTTAGTTACCCAATACTTCAACATAGTGGAAAGGAAACTCCTCTCACAATTTGAGATAGGCCAACTACACAGTACATGCCAGATTCAAGAAGATCTGGAAGAACAATTGGATGTGCAACCAACACATGAAGCTGGATAATCACTGCCAACCCCTCCATTATAGGGCACAGCAGCTGATATGAGGCATAAGTTCATGGATAAACTACTACAGTCAACACTCAGTTACCAAGGCTCAGTGGAGAGTCTAGCATCACATAGTATGCTAGAAGATGCTAATAGAGCCCTCACAATAACCCTGTCTACCACTATAACTGAAACCAATGGACTGGTATACACTATAGCCACAATAATCCTGGACATGCTTGACTACATGATCAAGAAGAAAAATAGAACAACCCACCTCACCACCACACCACTCCTGGAAATGAAGTTACAGTCTGAGATCAAGGCAACTTGGATAGACATTAGACAATTGATGGAATTACAGAAGGGTGTGAAGATTAAGGATAAGACTTGGCTATTGAAAAAAAATATAAGGGGCAGACTTCATCTGAAGACCAAGAGATTGTTAAACAAACGCTCACAGCATTGACTGCTAAGCTAAGGAAATATATTAGAGAAGTAGAGGCCAAGAATATAAATATCCTGTCCTCCAAGAACCATCTAAAGTGTACTCTGAACTACTGTGCAACAATCCAATAACAGCACAGCCATCAAACCAGCTGCTAGCAGCAGGCTCCCATCCAAACTAGCAAAGGAAGGACAGTGCTGATCATAAAAGACCCCCACAAGGAAACAGCACCAGTCAAATATCAATCAATAACCTGCCTCCTTAGAACATGGAAACTCCTATGAGACACTATAGCTGCCAAGCTACAGCATCATAGGGGCCAGTAAATGAGTACAGAAGAGCATTGGGAACCATACTGGAGGTTCAAAACACTACTTGTTCATAGACAGAGCAGTAGCCCAAGACTCAGGGTCTAGACAGACCAGTCTGAGCACAACTTGGCTTAACTATAGGAAAGTCTATGATTCAATGCCACACAAATGGATCTGTGAATGCCCAAGGTAGCAGCAGAGATGGAAGGAAAACCAAGCAGAGGAAATTATATGGAAATGCAAGACAAGACACTGCATGGGATGTAGAATTGACAGATAACTGAGGTGGCAGACACTGGGAGATTGGAAAGAGCTGGACTAAAAGACAGCACCAAAGCACTCATCATAGTAGCACAAGAACAGGCATTAAGCACCAGAACTATAGAAGCAGAGAGTCTAGGTGCAGATAAGGCCTCAGAGACAACACATAGTGACAGAATGTAATATACAGGCAAGAATAGCATACACTGAATGGCACAACCAAGTAGATGGCATTGTGTGCAGGACCATCTACACATTGTATGGGCTAGATCCTCCAAAGTTCTAACAGGAGATTCCACAGAAAGTTGTGAAAATAACAACTAAGATTCTGCAGGAATCCAGTGGGACTGATGGGTACTGGCCAATCAACCAGATATTGTGATAATAGACAAGAAGCAGAAGATAGTGGTGGTAAAATATGTAACGGTGACAAGTAACAGCAACTTCAGGAAGAAGGAATATGAGAATCTGGAGAAGTACCAGGGCCTGAAGAAGGAACTAGAGAGGATGTGGAAAGTAATGGCCAAAGTGATCGCTAATGGTAGGAGTACTCTGGACTGAACAGAACAGAATAACAGAGTTGGAAGAGACCTTGGAGGTCTTCTAGTCTACCTTCTGTTCAAACAGAAGACCCTATACCATTTCAGACAAATGGCTGTCCAGTCTCTTTTTAAAAAGCCTCCAGTGATGGCGCACCCAACAACTTCTGAAGGCAAGCTATTCCACTAGTTTATTGTTCTCGCTGTCAGGAAATTTCTCCTTAGTTTTACATTGCTTCTCTCCTTGGTTAGTTTCTAATCATTGCTTTTTGTCCTGCCTTCTGGTGCTTTGGAAAATAGGTTGACCCTTTCTTCTTTGTGGCACCCCTTCAAATATTGGAATACTGTTATCATGTTGTCCCTAGTCCTCCTTTTCACTAGACTAGGCATACCCAATTCTTCAAATGTTTTAGCCTCCATTCCCCCCTCCCAATTTGTTGCTGATCCCTGCACTCTTTCCAGAATCTCAACATCTTTTTTATATTGTAATGACCAAAACTGGATGTAGTATTCCACATTTGGTCTTACCAAAACATTATAAAATGTAAGGCCTTATTTTTCTCACCACTAAATTTCACTTTGTTAGATAAGGCCCAGTATTCAAGTTTGTTGAGATCCAGATGGATCTTGAGTTTATCTTTTCAGGTGTTGGCCATTCGTACCAGCTTAGCGTCACCTGAAAATTTCCTTTCTATTCCCTCATCTAAATCATTTATGAAGATATTGAAGATTATTGCACCTAAGACAGAACCCTGGGGTACCCCACTACTTACTTCTCTCCATGTAGATGTAGTAACATTAAGGACTATTTGTTCAGTACAGTTTGTCAGCCAATTACAAATCCATCTGGTGTTGATGCTGTCTAACTCACTTTTTTCTAGTTTACCAAGAAGTAGATTGTGGTCTACTTTGTTGAATGCCTTGCTGAAGTCTAAGTATACTATGTCCACAGCATTTCATGATCCACTAATTTAGTCACTTTGTCAAAGAATAAAATAAGATTTCTTTGGCATGATCTCTTTTTGAGAAACCCATTTTGGCTTCTGTTTATAACCTTGCTTGCTTCTAGGTGTTCACAGTTCTGTTCCTTGATTATCTTTTCCAGGATTTTCTCAGGTATTGATGTCAGGCTAATTGGTCTATAGTTTCCAGGATCTGTTCCCCCTCCCCCCACCCTTTTTTTTTTTTTGAAGATGGGAACCACATCAGCTCTTTTCCAGTCCTCTGGTAGTTTCCTGATGCTCCAGGATTTTTAAAAGATGTGGTACAGTGGTACTGAGATGACATCTGCCAGCTCCTTTAGAACTCTGGCATGTAATCCATCAGGTCCTGGTGATTTGTATTCATCAAGATCAGACAGGTGTTCTCTTACCATTTTTTTGCTTATTTTAACTTTGATTTCTAGTCTGTCTTTTATAGTTATGTTTTTGGTAGGTTGGACTATTGTTTCTTTTTGCGTGAAGATCAATGCAAAGAATGAGCTAAGCAGCTCTGCTTTCTCTTTGCTGCTTACTTCTTTGTTGTATTCTCTCTTTAGTAGACCGACTGTTTCCTTGATTTTTTTTCTTGTTATTTATATGTTGGAAGAAAGTTTTTTTTATTATCTTTGTCTTCATTCTGAGCCTTTGCTTTCCTGACTTCGTCTTTGCAGATTCTGGCTGTCTGCTGCTAGTCTACCTTAGTTATGTGTCCTTCTTTCCATTTTTTGTACTTGTCTTTCAATTTGTCAGAGAGATCTTTGTGCAGCCATGCTGGTTTCTTATTGGATTTCTTGTTTTTCTTTTTCAGTGGTATTGTGCTGGACTGGGCTTTTATGATCATATTTTTCAGAGTTTCCCGAGCTTCTTGAATTGTTTTTCCCTTAAGGATTTTCATCCAAGGAATCTTTCCCAAGTTCTCTCTGAGTTTGTTAAAATCAGCTCTTTTAAAATCTAGGATTCTGGTATCATTGTGTTCTATTGCTTGTATTTACATTATGTTGAATTCTAGTATGACATGGTCACTCTCACCAAGGTTCCTGTGGTTTCAACTCTCTCTATCACTTCTTCTCTGTTTGTAAGAATTAAGTCCAGTATAGTTATCTCTCTAGTTTCCTGCTCTACCTTTTGGATGACAAAATTATATGTTAGGCTGGTCAAGAACCTGTTTGATCTCCCATCTGATGCAGAATTTATTTCCCAGTTGATGTCAGGGTAATTAAAGTCACCCATTACTATTGTGGTGTGTTTCCGACATACATTAGTTAACTGATTAGCAAAAAGTTCATCTATTTCTTCCACTTGGTTGGATGCCTGTAGTATACATCTATGGCAATGTCACTGTCAACCCTGAAGCAAACCTAGCTGGAGCCATCTTTTAATGCTTCCGCAATTCCTGGAGGAAAATGATTATCTAGACCCATACCAATCAGGCTTCAGGCGCGGACACAGCACAGAAACAGCATTGGTCACCCTGGTGAATGATCCCTGACGGGCCTGGGATGGGGGTTATACCTCCATCCTGGTGTTACTTGACCTCTCAGCAGCTTTTGATACCATCGACCATGGTATCTTACTGGTATCTTACTGTGACAACTCAGGGGGTTAGGGGTGGGGGGCACTGTTCTACAGTGGTTCTCCTCCTATCTCTCAGGCTGTACGCAGTTTGTATGGGCGGGGGGTCAGAGATCCTCCCCGAGGCCCCTCACTTGTGGAGTGCCGCAGGGGTCGGTTCTCTCCCCCTGATCTTTAACATCTACATGAAACCGCTGGGTGAGATCATTCGTAGTTTTGGGGTGAGGTATCATCAGTATGCTGATGATACCCAACTTTACATCTCCACCCCAGAAGGGGGAAAGGGAGGGGGAAGTAGATAGCCTGGCTTGGCTGTCAAAACAAAAAGTTTCCTGTGGGACCCAAGGTCATTTCAACAGGTGGCTGAGAGTAGAGGAGTGAAGTAACCAAGTGACCAGCCAGCACCTCATTGGACCATGTGATTGATGGCCTGGGGAAAGGGGGAACTTTCACTTTTAATTAGGTGAAAACTGCAGGAACTTTTAGAGTCAGTTTTCACCAGTTGTACCAATATAATGTATCCAATAAACCTGTTCTTTGAGGGATCTACCTGCCTCAGAGTTCTACTTTCAATAGGCGCATTACTTAGAATGCTGACAGTCACTCTTTTATCCTTTTATATTGACCTATATGCATTCAATAAAGCTTTCATCCTTGGTTTTATGCATTTCTGTAGAGATTTTGTGATCTCTTATATAATGCAACTCCACCTCCTCTTTTGTTAGGTCTGTTTCTTTTGAACAGTTTATATCCTTCCATCGGTACATTCCAGTCATGAATTTCATCCCATCAAGTTTCAGTAATCTATATCTAAACTATAGATTCAGTAATCTAAACTATATCATACTTGCCCTCATGTACTAGTACTTCAAGTTCACCCTGTTTGTTCCCTAATTTTTCAGCATTAGCCTATAGACATCTGAGTCCTTTATGGCTGACTCTAGGTATGCTTCCTACATCTCCTAGTTTGTATCTGAGTTTTTCTTCCTTCCAATCACTTTCTACCTCCTTGTTTGATTGGTTGTTGGGGTTTATGCTTAGGATTAGATTCTAAAGATGCTAAAGATTGGTCACATTCTCACAGAGAGATATAAATGTTATATCTTGCCCACACAGGCTTTATGTGACTTCCAACAATTTATCTGTTTTTACACAATGTATAAACCTGCGTAGTGCTTTCAGTTACATTAACAGGTACAATGTGACCTGTTAATGTAACTGAAAGCACTACGCAGATTTATTCATTGTGTAAAAACAGATACAACTTTAGAGAATAATTTGTATGCAGGGTTGGGCAGCAACATACTGTTGCAGAAGGCCATATTAAAGACATACTGATTATTGGGGTGGAATGATTGCTGGGAATACAGAATCACAGGGAGCAGATAGTGTTGACTATGACAAGATAGTGAAATATTTGGGAAAGGAGAGGACATCCTAGAGTAAGAGGGTAATGTTATGGTAAAAAAATAAGGCCAATACTCCAGGAAACAAAAAGTAACACATGATTTCTGATTGCCGTAATCACATTTATTCATGCTTCCATTTTAGGACATTCTGTTTTCAAGGAGCATCACAACTAGACTTTTCTTCATGGTGCATAGCTATTCAGAGTTCAGCAGGAAGTCAAGGGAATGCCTTGCAAGACCAGCAGCTCAGCAAAAATGGCATCCCCATTATTGTGAGCAGTTGTATTTCATTTATCACTCAATATGGTAAGTTACTCAGAGATTCCTTCAATCAACCAAAAATAATTTATACCTTATTGTGATCAAAGTACCATATTTTTCAGAGTATAAGATGCACTGGAGTATAAGACGCACCTACCTTTTTTGGTTGTTGTTGTTTTTTTAAAGGTTTTTTTTTTTTTAGACAAACACACATACAAACATACAATGTATTTTCTTTGAACAGAGTATTTGGCTGGTTCACAAATTTAAACAGTGTTTAGTCATTTCAATTAAATTTACAATTTCTATGTTTCCCTTTTCCCATATTTATTCCTCATCTATTTTTTAAAAAAACCAATATTACCCTTCATTCTCATCTCTAATCTTAATCAAATTCAATTTTTCCCTTCTATTCTATATTATACCCCTTCCCATTGTCATCTATTTTTATATCCATCCTCACATTGGTTAATTATGTAATATTACAGTTGTTTAATACAAATTCAACATTTTAATATAAATCAATTAGTTATATAACTATCTTTTTGTACTGTATATTAATCAATATGAACATGAATATTCCAATTATTTCCATGCAATCCAATTTCTTACAAATCAATTAATTATATTTACCAATAAGAATAAACCAAATAATTTCCCCCATATATTCCTCCAAACCACAACTTAACCATTTCTGCTTTCAACACAATATATAATTAATAGTATATCAATTCCCTAGTTAAATAGAGTTTTTTTTTTCTTTTGTGTTCTAAAATCTTGAACTCTCCTCTTTTGCCCTAAATTTCCCATTGTTTGCACCTACCTTTTTTGGTGAGAAAAAAGAAAAAAAATCTCTCTCTGCCTCATTTTGTCACGTTGCAGCAAAGAACCTGCTTTACTTTCAGTTTTGTTTTTTCAGCATAACTAAGGGAAAAAAATCTGCTCCAGCACTTTTTGCAGCAAACAGGAGAGTCCCGTGCAAAACAGCTGAGAGCAAATCAGCTGAGAGTTGGGTGGCCGATCTAATCAACTTGTGTTAATTAACCTATGCTGAAGCTGAAAGGGGCTGTTTTTTCTTGCTGTTTGCTTGCAAGGAGGTAACTGCTGCGAGGCACAGGCCAAAGGGTGGGGGCCAGTGGGTGGGCAGGGCTACATTTGGTGTATAAGACGCACCTAAATTTTCACCCCCTTTTGGGGGGTAAAAAGGTGTGTCTTATACTCCGAAAAATACGATAAATCAAACCATCCCTCCTGCCTGAAAAATAGTGGCTTTAAGTCTATTATTCTGCATGAGCAAGAAAATAAAGCATAAGAATGTGAACCTTGATTTCACTATAAGTAGGCTTGTATTTGATATACAACAATTGCTAAAGTTCTTTCATAATATCTTTTTTTTATTGCAAAAGTTTTACAATTACATTTTTACCCCTTTCCCCCCCTCAACCCACCCCAAACTTCCCAACCTCCCTAACCCTCCCTAACCCTCCCCTCCCCCCAGACTTCCACACAATATACTCAAAAGTAAAAAAAGCCCTTTGTATAAAACTTGAACCCCTCCCTCCCCCATATAATTTTTCATCTTCATTACATTAAAATATTTCTATCTTAATATAGCATTTTCAAATAAAAGCTATTTGATACTTCCTAGTTTGATATTTGTTCTGCACATAATCTATCCACTTTTTCCATTCCCATTCATAAGTCTCTTGTGAACAATCTTTTAAATATGCTGAAATCTTCGCCATCTCTGCAAAACTGGCCATCTTCAAAGTCCATTCCTCGATAGTGGGCAAAGCTTCATTTTTCCAGTATTTACCTATCAACAATCTCGCTGCTGTTATCATGTACAATATCAATTTTGTTTCACCCTATGTAAAACCCTTAACTATACCCAATAAAAACAGTTGTGGAGAAAATTGAATTTTTTTCTTCAAAACATTCTGCATGACCCACCAAATTTTTATCCAAAAAGCCTTAACTTTCCTACAAGTCCACCAAACATGATAATATGTAGCATCTAAACAATCACATCTCCAACATTTTGGCTGAACATTAGGGTACATACACGACAATTTTTTGGGGTCTAAATGCCATCTGTAAAACATTTTATAAAAATTTTCCCTCAAATTCTGCGACTGTGTAAATTTAACGTTCTGAACCCAAATTTTTTCCCATGTTTCCAACATCACTGGTTCTTCAAAATTTTGTGCCCACTTAATCATACAATCTTTAACCAATTCAGTTTCTGAATCCCTTTCTAACAAAACATTGTAAAGCCTTTTAATATGCATTGGACCTTTCTCTTTTATATGTCTAACCAATTCTTCCTCATGCAGCATAATACCAATTTTTTGGTCCTCTTTCCATCTCAGTGTTAGTTGATTATATTGTAACCAAGTTAAGTTAATCCCTTCGTCCAACAGTGTCTCTAATGTCTTCAACTGCCATCTACCCGCATCTGTAAAAAGAACCTCTTTATATAAAAACCCCCCGAGTGACATTATATTTGTATTCCACATAATATGACCAAGATCCAGCCATAACGGTATTTTGTAATCCCATTTGAGTCGGTGCTTCTTCCAAACCCTCATCAAAGAGTCTCTAAGTATATGACTTTTAAATACTTTATCCACTTTGTTCTCATAAAATAAATAAGCATGCCATCCAAATTCAAGATCAAAACTTTCTATATTCAATATTCCAGTCTTTTTCCTTCCAAACCAGTCGCTTGCTTGAGTCAAGGCTGCTGCTTCATAATATAATTGTAGGTTTGGAAGTTTAAGACCTCCCCTTTCTGGAACATCTTGCATAATTTTCAATTTCACTCTCGGCTTCTTCTCGTTCCAGACAAACTTATTCACTCCAGATTGCCAAACTTTCAATTGTTTATCACTTTTAAGCACCGGAATCATTTGAAACAAAAAAAGAAATCTTGGCAAAACGTTCATCTTAACTGCTGCTATTCTTCCAAGTAAAGACAGCTGCAGTTTTTTCCAGGTCTCCAAGTCTTTTTGTACCTCTTGCCACAATACCTCATAATTATTTTGAAACAGTTTCATATTTGATTCTGCAACCTGAACTCCTAGATATTTTACCTTTGATACAATCTCAAAACCTGCCCTCCTTTCAAGCTCGTATTTACGGTCTTGTGTCATATTTTTAACTATCATCTTAGTTTTTTTCTGGTTCAATCTAATACCTGAAACTTTACCATAGTCTTGTATAATGTCTTTCATTTGGATTATTGATTCCATTGGCTGTGTTAGGGTAACAACCAGATCATCTGCAAATGCCTTTATTCTGTAGTCCTCTTGCCTTATCATTATACCTTTCAAGATATTAGAGTCCCGAATTGTGTTTAACAAGACTTCTAGTGTTAGAATAAATAGCAGTGGGGATAACGGACATCCCTGTCTTGTTCCTTTTTCAATTTTAAACTCTGTTGTCAAACTTCCATTAATAATAATCTGTGCCTTTTGCTCTTGGTAAATTGCTGAAACCGCCTGTATAAATTGGTCCCCAAAGTCCATCTTTTTTAAAGTCTTTAATAGAAAATTCCAATCCACTCTGTCAAAGGCCTTTTCCGCATCCAAAAAGACCAGCACTGCAGATACCTGTTTATTCCTCTCAAGATATTCCAATAAATCTATTACTTGCCTCACATTATCCTTCATGTATCTACCCTCGATAAATCCTGCTTGATCATCATGAATCACCTTTTGAATTACTGGCATCAATCTGTTGGCTAGTACTTTTGCATAAATTTTATAATCAGTATTCAGAAGAGATATTGGTCGATAATTCTCCGGCTTTTTAGGACCTGCTTGCTCTTTTGGTATCAAAGAAATATGAGCTGTTGTCCATGATGGTGGAACTTTACCCCCTTGTTGAATATTGCAAAATAAGTCTCTAAGTTGTTCCACCATTTCTGCTTGCAAAGTTTTATAATACACTGCGGTCAAGCCATCCGTTCCAGGAGCTTTAGCTGTTTTTAATTGTTTAATTGCTGCCATTATCTCCTCCTCTGTTATAGGATAATTCATTCTTTCCTTTTGTTGAGTAGTAATTTTTGTAACTCTTTTATTATCTAAATATTTTTCTATAAGTCCATTCTGCATATCATCTTTAGCATATAATTTAGTATAATAATCCACAAAAGCTTCTTTAATTAACTTTTGTTGAAAGATTTCTTTCCCTCCGATATCAATACTATCAATAGTCCATATACTCTGCTTTTTCCTTAATGTGTAGGCCAACCATCTGCCTGGTTTATTGGCATTACAAAATGTATTATGCTTCGCATATTGTAGGTTTGTTGCAACTTGTTCCGCCATAAGCATTTGAAATTGATCTTTCAAAAGTTTTATAGCACCACGTGTTCTTTCATCTGTTGGGTTTTTAATAAGTAGCTGTTCTTTGTTCTTTATTTCTACTTCCAATTCAGATCTTTTCTTTTGTCGATTCAGTCTATGTTTAGAATTCATATAAATGAGTACCCCTCTCATATAAGCTTTGCTCGCATCCCACACAATTTCAATTGGGGTACCCTTATTCAAATTTATTTCAAAAAATTCTTTCAGCTGCTTTTTAAGTTCTATTATATTTTTTTCATATCTGAACAAGTTTTCATTTAGTCTCCATGAGCATCTCTCAGTCTTACCCATCTCAATTTCTATCCATACTGGGCTATGGTCAGTCAAAGTTCTTGGGAAAATCTTTGTTCTTTTTGTCTTAACAAGTAGATCATCTGACAACAAAATAAAATCAATCCTAGAGAAGGATCTATGTCTATCAGAAAAAAAAGTATAGTCCAATTCTTTTGGGTTATGTATTCTCCAAATATCTTTTAATTCCAAATCTTCTTTCATATCAAAAAAAGTCTGCGGTAATCTGATCCTGGATTTCGCCAAACTCTTTTTATCTAGTTTAGAATCAATTACTCCATTCCAATCTCCCATAATTAAAATAGATCTATAGTCCCATTGCAGTATTTTAGTGTGTAACATTTTATAGAAGTGATCCTGTTGTTGGTTGGGAGCATAAAT